GCGGCGATGGGGCCGCTGGAGGGCGGCGACTGGGCCGCTGAAGGGCGGCGACGGGGCCGCTGAAGGGCGGCGGCGGGGCCGCTAGAGGGCGGCGACGGGGCCGCGGAGGGGCGGCGGCGGGGCCGCTAGAGGGCGGCGACGGGGTCGCGGTAGGGCGGCGACGGGGCCGTTGAAGGGCGGCGGCGGGGCCGCTAGAGGGCGGCGACGGGGCCGCGGTAGGGTGGCGACGGGGCCGCTGAAGGGCGGCGGCGGGGCCGCTAGAGGGCGGCGACGGGGCCACGGTAGGGCGGCGACGGGGCCGCTGAGGGGCGGCGGCGGGGCCGCTAGAGGGCGGCGACGGGGCCGCAGTGGGGCGGCGACGGGGCCGCTGAAGGGCGGCGGCGGGGCCGCTAGAGGGCGGCGACGGGGCCGCTTGGAGGGCGGCGACGCGGCCGCGAAGGGCGGCGGGTGGGCCGCGGAGGCAGCGACGGGGCCGCGAGAGGGTGGCCGGGCCGCAAGGGGCGGCGACGGGGCCGCTAAGGGTGGCGACGGGGCCGTGAGTGGGGCCGTGAGTGGGGCCGCTAAGGGCGGCGTGACGGGCCGCTAAGGGGAGGGCGGCCCACAGGACGTGCCTCGGTCAGGGGCGACTCGATCTCAGGGCAGAAAAAAAAAAAATTAGTGGTGGGCCCAAGGAAAAGTTTCCTCTAGGGAACCTGCTCTATACCATGTGAAGAAATGAGGAATGGATGAACTAGGAAATGAGTTGGGTACAAATATGAAACCCTAGAAAGCTGTACCCCATACTGTCTACCCCACTACAGCCTAGAAAGACTATAGCATATAAGTTTGACACGTTGCGCACATATGATGTTGCCACGTCCGTAATATTCTCCGTTTTAAGTGGGCTTTTGTTGCCGTCTCAGATCACGGACGCCATTATCAACTGGGAGACTCGCAAGGGGAAACTCCACAACTCACCGTGCGATAACGGCGCTTCTGTGCGCCAGATTCAGAAGCTGGCCTTTGATGCCATTGCAGATGCCGTGTGCGGGAATGAAGTGGCCTACGATGAGGAAAAGAAGTCCTGGAAGTGGGGCAGGCATGGGCTCCGTCTATCATCTTGCGGCCTGGAATGCCTCCTGGAAGACGAAGCATCCTCCGAAGACGATCATCAGGAGTCCGATGAGTCTGATGAGTCAGAGAGTGAATCCGATGCGTGACATGCTTAGGGTTGTTTGGCAAATTGTGTGTCGTAGACTGGTGTAGTTCCTTAGTCGGAGGATGCTACACTTGTTCGCTCGGTGCATATGTGCAATAAATCAATGACATATATGTTGGATTTTCTAAGACATAAGGGAGACCGTGCTGAACCTAGACACGAGTATGGTTTTACCACAGTTCCGCGCATCACGGCGACAATTGCGGCGCATTTCGCGGCGACAAATACGGCGGGGTTAATAGGAGCCGTCAGATGCAATGTTAGAAAGACGTAGAGAAAGACCAACCGTACATCCCGCCGAGCCGCTCGTCAACGATACGTTACTTACTGGGTGACGGCACCAGTGTCCAATGTATGTTGGCCACCTGGGTGATGCAGATGGTCACAGGTGTGTTATCGTGAGATCCGCGACGATTACACGTGTATGTGCGATTGGTAGGTGTAGTCCTAGTTGGACATGTATTATCTCCGATCGGACGGCGTGCGTAGGTACAGTTGGATTGCACTACCAATCTAGGAATAACATTTGTAACGTACGGACGGTCGCGATGTGGCGTATCCGTTTGAGTTTTGTAGGTCGGCGGCATATCAGGAGCGGCCATGTGCCGGCTCCTGTTTGGCAAACCCCACTTGCCATGAGGCAATTGCCGTCGTACATCTGTGGCCATCTGGACCCTACATGCGGCACGACACGATTCGTTAGGGGAGGGCATCCATCTGGCATAAAGCGTAATTACACGTGGAGATATTCTGCTGACGTGGAATAGTGGCTTCATGCATGCTCCAATGCAGCAATGTGGCAACGCACAGGTGTAACCGTGGAGTGTCACCACAGTGACGCAAATGTCATCGACGAACATATGACGTATAAGCGACCCCCATGACGCTGTGCGTGTTGCGGCATTGTTGCGGGAACCGTTGCTAGAAAGCTGCGGGAAAGTTGCGGAAAAGCCACTTTCCCCGTAACCCCGACACAGAAGCGTTTGACCTAGACTTTTTTCTTGCGAAACCAAAGTTGCGTGAAAGCAACTTTGAAGCTGCTAAGCCGCAGCTTTTCCGGCCTTAGACTTTCGCCAGTGGCGGGTGGGCGCATCAAGGCGCGGAGCATGGCGGAGAGGCAGAGGCGGGAGAGGATCAGTGAGGGGCTGCAGAAGCTGCGGTTGGTGGTGCGCGGCCATGGGGACACTGCTACCATGCTCGATAAAGCTGTTGCATGTGTCGATGCGTTGCAGCGCAGGATGACCGCGCTGGAAACCGCTCTGCTGCTGCACCAGGCGTCGTGCAAACACCCAGAGTGGCCGAATGGTTGCTCCCTGGCCTCCCCTGGAGGATCTTCTGAGCTTTTGTAAGGGATATTCCCATTGGACTAAACGTTATCAATAACATAAGATCAGCCGACTAATGTAGCTGGATGTGTCATTTGTCAGAGCGATTCCATTGATCTTGTATATAATATGTGTCCTCATTTTCTTATGAATCAACCCATCATACGTTTGAAATGCCTGGTCACAACTAGTTTGAAACAAGTTGGCTACTAGGAGAGTTATTATTGTTTGAAGTTCCAGAATCTTCTCCTACGGATCGCAAGTTATACAAACGCGGATTGTTAGTGTTATGAGTTGTACTAAGAAGAGTGCGCGGAAGACTTTATAAAAAGGATGTCGAATACAGAATGACGAGAATGATAAAGAGGCATGCATTTATAGGGTCGAAACCGGTCTAGGCGAGGACCTCGGGACGTGCGAGGTTTGGATGTGTTGCGATTGGTGCGGAAGCGACTCGGAAAAGTGGTTCGGGCCGAAGTGTAGGCCGAACCCAGACTGACGCGAAGTTCGGGATGTCCTCGCTAGGAGCAGCCTCTACAGAAATGAATTCTAATTCATTACAGTTAGGGACGGAACAGTTGTGCTGTGTGGAACTTTGTTAGGGCTGGTGAGTAGCGGTTTAGAGCGGTGACGGAAAACAGACGGTCTTGAAGGTGAACCAGCCTTGACCGCCCTGCCCATCACGCTTCTGGAATTTTCCACTCTGGCGAGTTGCAGAATTTGAAGGTACCTAGTGCCCACAGAGGAACTGTCTCCAGTCGCCATTTTCTTACGACTCTTAGCGTTAGCTCCCTACTAATCAGCGACGGTAGCAGGAGGAGCGTCTTACTAATATATAGCTGCTTCTCGTTCAATATATATCGCTGTCTATCGTTCCCCGCCCTCTTCCGCGCTTGCTCCTCCCTCCGTGCCGATCCGCCCGTCCGTTTTCGCTCTCCTGCTTTCCGCGTCTTGCGAGCTTCGACTCGTCTACGCGACGAAATGAGTGCCGCTCGCCTTCCCGCGCTCCTCGCGCTCCCGCTGCTGCTGTTGCTCGTCGCGAGCCTGCTGGTCACCCCGCTGCGCGCCGAGGACTGCGACGCAATCCTCGATAAGGTGAGAATGACGCGCGGCGAGAATGAGGAGCGGCGAAGGGGTGAATTCTGCATTTCGGTTGACGAGCAGCACCGCGTGCGGCTGCGCGCCGATTGACGACCAGCAGGCTGCGCGCCGAAGACTGAGACGACATTCTAGATCAGGTGCGAGGCGAGAGTGACGAGGAGCGCGTGGAGGGGGAAGGTCTGAGGGGGGTGCATTCTGCGCGCCGATGAGGACCAGCTCCGCGCGGATGACGCGCGGAAGACGGTACTACTCATTCATACGCATACCTTTCCCCATCCCTTCCCCCGCGCTTCACTCGCTTCATTCAAGTTTCCTCTCCTCGCGTACACCTCTGACTGCACGCCTTTTGAGACGTCTCAAGAGTTATTCCCGCCTCTCCTTACACTGCGCGCCATGAGGCGCAGTGAGAAAAAAAAATCGAGAATTCTCAACAATCTTTGGAGGCGTCTCAAGAGTTATTCCTGCCTCTCCTCTCACTGCGCGCCAACGAGGGTTCTGGCCCAGTGAGAAATTTTCGAGAATTCTCAAAAATGTGTTAAGTTGTCTCAAGCGTTATTCCCCGCCTCACCTCTCACGCACCAACGAGGCTTCTGGCCCTGCCCCAGGGGAGGGGAGCACGTGTAAAGGCAATTTCTGTTTGAGCTGCTACACTAGATTTTCCTTTTCTTTGTTCAAGCTGCTGCGCGCATGCTCCAAGCCTCGCACATATCCCTCTCTCCTTCCCCGCCCTTTCTTCTCTCACTGCGTGCCGATAACTGTGCGCCTATGGCTGAATGCCTATGGCTGAATGCCTATGACTGAATGCCTATGACTGAATGCCTATGACTGTATGCCTATGGCTGAATGCCTATGACTGAATGCCTATGACTGAATGCCTATGGCTGAATGCCTATGACTGAATGCCTATGACTGAATGCCTATGACTGAATGCCTGTGACTGAATGCCTATGACTGAATGCCTATGGCTGAATGCCTATGACTGAATGCCTATGACTGAATGCCTATGGCTGAATGCCTATGACTGAATGCCTATGACTGAATGCCTATGACTGAATGCCTATGACTGAATGCCTATGACTGAATGCCTATGACTGAATGCCTATGACTGAATGCCTATGACTGTATGCCTATGGCTGAATGCCTATGGCTGAATGCCTATGGCTGAATGCCTATGGCTGAATGCCTATGACTGAACTGAATGCCTAAGACTGAATGCCTATGACTGAATGCCTATGACTGAATGCCTACGACTGAATGCCTATGGCTGAATGCCTATGGCTGAATGCCTATGGCTGAATGCCTATGGCTGAATGCCTATGGCTGAATGCCTATGGCTGAATGCCTATGGCTGAATGCTTATGACTGAATGCTTATGAATGCGCGCCGGTGACTCCAGGGGGGATTGTGAGGAGAAGATGGGCAGTCACAAATATCGCTCCCTCTCCACATGCATGAGTGCCTCTCCCTCCCCTTGCCAGGTGAAGGAGTGTGAGGACACGTGGGGAAGTTGAGGAAGTTGCTGTTCATTGAGGGAGTATGTGTGCAGCAGCAGCTTGAGCAAAGAAAAGAGGCAGAGAGCACATTTTTGCTGTCATCTGCGTTTCCCTTGCCAGGTGGAGGAGTGTGAGGAGAATGTGGGGAAGCTGAGGAAGCTGAGATTCGAGGCGGAGAACAAGTTTGACGCGACGCATGCGATGGGGGAGAAGATGAAGGAGAAGATGGCCGAGTGTGAGGAGACCACCGCCAAGAACGCTGCTGAGCGGGAGAAGGAGAAGAGCGAACTGAGTAAGTTGGCGGATTCCATTTTTAAACAAAGTAGATGTGTGTGTCGAGTTGATTCAGATGAGAAAATGGGGAGTTGGCTTGGCAAAGTGGGTTGGAGGAGATAACCTGGGGGGAGCTTGATGGGGTGCAGAGAGAAAGATGGTGTGAGGGATCTAGGGGTGCACGTGATCTAGCTTGATCTGGGTTGTACGTGGGGATAAGATTGGTTGCTGGGCTTCACGCAACTCTTGCGCTGCACTGTGCTCCATGCCTCTTCTGACTTACAGCCATGCACAGTCTTCTGATATGGCCCTCAAGTGCACGGCTCTTCTGGTCTTGTTCAACGCTTCTCAACGGCAGCAGTGCTTCACCTGGATGGGAGTGTTAAGTCGTGCTTCGGGCATGCCAATATATGTCCACTGTTTTCATGTCTCATCTCTTTGCCTCTCTTAACACTCTGCAGGTCACATTGGCTGAGAGGCTTGAACAAAAAAGATGATGTCGTGTTGTAGACACCTCAAGGCATGAGGCATGCTCACAATGCCTCCTCCTGTCTCCTCTGTGTCCCTCTCTCGCCACTCTCCCCTTTCAATGCAGTGGCACAGGTGCATGATCTGGAGAACAAGGTGAAGGAGCTGCTCAAGGCATGCTCACAATGCCTCCTGTTTCCTCTGTGTGTCCCTCTCTCCCCTTTCAATGCAGTGGCACAGGTACATGAGCTGGAGAACAAGGTGAAGGAGCTGCTCAAGGCATGCTCACAATGCCTCCTGTTTCCTCTGTGTGTCCCTCTCTCCCCTTTCAATGCAGTGGCACAGGTACATGAGCTGGAGAACAAGGTGAAGGAGCTGCAAGCGAAGCTGGGCATCAGTGAGGACAGCAGCACCAGTGATGACACCAGCAGTGACGGCAACACCAGTGACAAGTAAACCTCTGTAATGGTTGGCTCATGCCTGCAAGCGAAGCTGGGAATCAGTGAGAACAGCAGCACCACTGGCGACACCAGCAGTGACAAGTAGCCCTTGTAATAGATGGTTCATGCATGAATTGTGCAAATGCAGTGTGTGGTTTTAGCGTCTGTCAATTTGAGGTTGTGCAAATGAGTAAAATGATATCTCATTAATTGGAATCATGACAAAAGGTCATTGTACCTAGAGTCATCGTCATCAGCGGAAACAGCATTGGCCCCATGAGCCAGACCTTGTACGGTACCTAGAGTCGTCTTTATTGCATGCCACCTTATTTCCCCACCTCCATGAGACATAAGCGATGCAAAATGCAGGTGCCTGCGCGGGAGACGTGACACACGAATCCTGCCGTGCGAGGCTGAGCGGCAAGGCTGAGCGGCGAGGCTGAGCGGGAGAGGATCTCTCAGCGCCTTGCGCTAAAAAACGTATCCAGCCGCTCTGGCTTCCGCCTCCGCCCGTTCCGCTTCCGCAATAGCTTCCGCCATTCGCTCATTCTGCCTCCGCACCTCCAGGTCCGCCTGTCTCTTCGCATGCACGGCTTCGTCAACGATTTTCTTCGCCTGGTCCATTTCGCCAGCGGCCTCCGCCACTCGATTGTTCGCCTCGTCCATTTCGAACTGCAGCTTGTCGATGCTCGGCATCTTAATGGCGGCGCTTGACGATTTCGATTTCGACCGTCTCTTCTTCGCCGCGAGAGCGCCGCTCGTGCAGAGCGCGAGGACGAGGACGAGGCAAAGAACATATCGCTTCCAGTGAGCCATGCGAAGCTGACAGTAAGTCAAACGTCGGATTGGATGGTGAAAGCTGACGGTGAGCTTCACGGAGTGAGAATGCGGCTTTTGAGATGCTGGAGGAGCAGGAACTGAGAAGCAAGGATCGATTGACCAAGTCGCGAAACGAAGAAGCTGATAGCAATGGTAGCGTCGATATGCTGTTGTTCCCTTTTGTACGCGTGGTGGCTGGGCCTTCAAGATTTTGGTCCTTCCGGTGCGGCTGCTGCCTCTTCTGCTCACAAACGGAAGAAGAGTTTCGGGGTTGAGCGTGGCTCAAGGGTTTACCGCGCAGTTCAGAACGTCGATAAGTGAGCCTGTGGAGTGTCACCGCTTCCGCCGAGCCGCGTTGGGTCCAGCTGTCCAGGTGTTTTGAAAAGCAGCTGAATGGGAGTATGGGAGCGACAATTACGTATGGGTTGCAAACGCGTACCAAGATGGATAGAAGTGAAAGTAGAGACAACCTATTGATAGCTGCCTATACGTTTAATTTAGAGCGTGTTCCTATCCTCGGATCCCCTAAACCCGAAACCTCTCGCTAGTTTTACCAGGCAAAAAGAACAATCTTGATATGAGAACTTCATACGAGGACAGGAATACGCTCTAAGAATACTTTATGATTGGTGAAGCAATGTAAGAAATATGTTTAAAACATTTGATCAGGAAACCACTTTTTATGGAATAAAATCCGTTAATGGTTCAGCAATTTGTAGAAGAACTTTCATGTTCTTTCAATGGTCCCAAAAATTACATTATGTAACAGTCACACGACAGACCAGATATCATTAACACTAATAACTGAGGCCCTGGCTATTGCATCCGATCTGTCATACCGTAACAGTCACTTCTCTCTCACCTCTCATCTCTCTTGCCTCTGCTATCTCTGCCATACCTGTCATCATTGTCGCCTCTATCTCTGTCTCTGTCTGTCCCCGTCGACGTCCCTGTCTCTGTCTCTGTCCCTGTCTGTGTCGCTGTTGCAAATAATCCTTCTTCAGAATACGTGGTTCCATACAGCACACTAGGAATCCAGGTATACAAGCAAAGGTAAACTGACTACGGCAGCTAATACCACGGCTCGATCACTTGCATGAGATCCCCGAGGCTAAGAGGCTCCTCCTCGTAGGCTGAATGGGCTGCCTTGGCCTCAAAAGCCGTCGTATCACATGCCTCAAAACCGCCGCATGCCCCACAGGCCATGAGGCCTGCTTGGGCCATGAGCGCGTTTGCTACAGCGCGCTGCAGTGCGACGGAAAAGCGCTGCCGGTAGGAGTGGTAGAGCTTCTCTTCCACCCGTAAACCCCGCCCAGCGTTGTACAGCCGCTTGGCCCCAAGGTTGGCGCAGAGGCGGTGAAACTCCATCACTCCGGGTGAGCAGCCCCCATACGTCTCCACCGCCATATCTAAGATTCCGACGCAAGGCGCGCGGTTGCGGTTCCTGTCTTCTTTGGTCCGTGCCGCTGCGGTTGCGGCCCAGCCTGCGGCCTGCCTTGCTGTCGGGTCTTGAGGTGAGAGTGGGTCGATGACGGTCAGGTAGCACAGCCACACCGCTCCCGAATCCGGGTGCTGAATGGCGAGATCCGCCTTCAAACCCTCCACCGGTGTGTGAAGGGCTGTCTCGACCTGCACAGCAAAGCCCGCTTGCTTCGCAATGCGGGCACACTCCTTGCGGACCGCATTGTGGATGCTCGTGAGCCCTTTCCCTGCTCTGCACTGGAGGAGATGGCTGGGTGGGGGAGGGTCCGGGATCTCCGTCTGGTCTATGCCTCTGTCCGTGCCTCTGCCCCTGCCTCTGTCTCTGTCTCTGCCTCTGCCTCGCTCTCTGTCCCTGCCACTTTGGCTCTCTATGTCTCTGTCTCCGTCTCTGTCCCTATCTGTGGTCCGACTCCCTCCCTTCACCTCTCCCGTTGGCTGGCCGTGGTGTTTCAGCACAGTCGCCTCCACAGGACCACCCCCACCCATCATACCCCTGCCAGACCCCACGTGCCCGCCATTCCCTGCCACTGCATCAGCTCCCTGCCCCTTCTCATTCCCCACGGGTGCCCTCTCCCGCTTCTGTATCTCTCGGTCCCTTGAGTCACATCTCACTGCTCTCACGTTCACTGGCTGACTGCCCAAGGGCGTTTTGGTTGTCGCAGGCTCTCGGCTCCTCTCCCACTCCTCCCTCTCATTCCCGTTGTTGGTCTGACGGAAACTTCTTGGACCTTTTCCTTTTCTTGCTTGGTTGCCTCGACCTTTCGTCCTAGTCACCCCAGCTGCACCACCCACTCCTCCTCGTATCGCCAGTTGTTGCATCGCTGCTGCTGCTGCTTCAGCTGCTCCCTCCGCTTCAGCTGCTCTCTCCGCTTCAGCTGCTCTCTCCGCTTCAGCTGCTCTCTCCGCTTCAGCTGCTCTCTCCGCTTCAGCTGCTCTCTCCGCTTCAGCTGCTCTCTCCGCTTCAGCTGCTCTCGCCTCTTCAGCTGCTCTCGCCTCTTCAGCTGCTCTCGCCTCTTCAGCTGCTCTCGCCTCTTCAGCTGCTCTCGCCTCTTCAGCTGCTCTCGCCTCTTCAGCTGCTCTCGCCTCTTCAGCTGCTCTCGCCTCTTCAGCTGCTCTCGCCTCTTCAGCTGCTCTCGCCTCTTCAGCTGCTCTCGCCTCTTCAGCTGCTCTCGCCTCTTCAGCTGCTCTCGCCTCTTCAGCTGCTCTCGCCTCTTCAGCTGCCCGTTCCAAACTCCCTGCAGCTGCATCATTCTCAACAGCACCTGGTTTCCCCACTGCATGTTCCACTGCCCGTTCACGCGCCTCCACTGCCCGCCCTTCGCTCCCACGCCCTGCACCTACCAGCCCTCCTATCATCAGCCCTTGCAGCGCCTTCGCGGCAGCTTCCACTGCTGCCTCGCCTGCTGCTTTCCGTGCTGCTGCGCGCCTCTCCACCCGAGCCCTCTCCTTGCGCACGTTGCGAACATTGCGAGCTGCGCCTCCCCTCGCATGTTTTTCAGCCAGCACTGCAGCTCTCTCTGCCTCGTTGGGCCAAGGCTGTGAAAGGGCAGGGGAGAACAGAGAACGAGGAACCATTGAGGAAGCTGCATACCTGTCCACTCGAACGCATACCTTGCGAACGGTGCGAGCTGCGCCTCCCCTCGCGTGTTTTTCAGCCAGCACTGCAGCTCTCTCTGCCTCGTTGGGCCAAGGCTGTGAAAGGGCAGGGGAGAACAGAGAACGAGGAACCATTGAGGAAGCTGCATACCTCTCCACTCGAACGCATACCTTGCGAACGGTGCGAGCTGCGCCTCCCCTCGCGTGTTTTTCAGCCAAGACAGCAACCCTCTCCGCCTAGTTGCTCCAAGGCTGTCCAAAGGGCAGGGGAGAACCAAGAGAATGACGAACCATTGAAGAAGCCGCACGCCCTCCACTCGTAGCTTCTTCTCCCGCATGTCGCGATCACTGCAAGCCACGTCTCCCCTCGCACGCTTTTCATTCACGAGAGCAACTCTCTCCGCCTCGATGGGCCAAGGCTGCACGCACAGGGGAGAACAGAAGATGAGAGGTTGAGGCGCCGCAAAAATATGTTCACCTTGGGAGTACCGCGGACACTACTGGCCATGTGTCCCCTCGCATGCTTCTCAGTCGGGAAACTGGGCCTCTCAGCTCCTCTCGAGGTATCTTTGGGGATTCCAAAAAAAACGGGCCTCTCTCCTCCTCGTTGGGCCAGGGCTACAAGCAGAGAGAGAGAAACCATGGAAGGGCGTGGGAAGGCAAGGCAGTTAGAAGCGTCACGCCTTTCCGGGACAACAACCCTCTCCTCCTCGTCGGGTCAAGGCTGCGAGCAGGGAGGGAAAGCAGCAACTGAAGAATTACAGTGAGAAGGGTTTTTCTCTCCTTGCGAACGGTGTGGGGCGCGTCTCCCTTGCACGTGTCTCCGCAGGAGACTGTAACCCTATCTCTGCATCGATAGTCTAATGCTGCAAGCGCAGGGATGAACAGGCAGTTTGCAGTCACAGTTTTCTGCTAGCCAGTGCTGCCATCGCTGTCGCATCTCCCTTCGCATGCTTCTCTGTATGAGGGGTTGCCCGCTCCGCCTCGTTGGGCCAGGGCTGCAAGCACAGGGGGGAGGAAATGATGGGAAATGCTGCGCTTCTCCCCAAGCATGATTCTCTGCCAGCACTGCTACCCACTCCGCCTCGTTGGGCCAAGGCTGCAAGCACAGGGGGGAGAGGAGGGGAGGACAATGAAGGACTGGCATGGCATGTAGGACTCGCAACTCGGTCATCCTCGTTGGTCCAAGGATGAGAGCGTTGAGGGCAAGAGCTACAGCCGCTATGCTAATGCGTCACATGCGATTGAGCTTCCACATTGCAAGCTTCTTAATACTTGCCAAATATAGCGTCTCAAAAAGCGAGCTCACCTGGCGATGCGTTGAGAAGCCGTACAGCTTTCTCCCCTTCAGCATGTGCTGCTTGAGTGGTGGCAAAGGCTGCAAGCCCGAGCTCCAGAGTACTTCCACCTGAAATCGAAATTCAAATATCAGATTCAAACATAAAAATCAAATATTAAAATCAACAATAAATCTCAAGTATCAAAGTTCTTACTGGGGCACATATAAGGTACACTCAATGACCCCAAATGGATAGCTGGCAGGGTGTTATTCCAGGACCCGGGCCTCGAGTCCATGAGCCTCAACAACTAGTAAACCGCAATTACTATATACAAGCACGTGCTCACTGCTATTTCCATAAGCTCACTATTGATGGACGCGAACGTGCTTACAGTGAAGGTGTGCTGCTGCTTCAATTCGCCGTAGCTCTCGATGATCACTCGCCCCGCCACTTGCAGACACCCCGGACAGTTTTTCTTGTGCCTGCGTGCACCATTTCGCGCGATGTAAACGCGGCGAAGAATCGTAGATCAGGCACATATTAGGCGGGAAAACAATCGGTTACGGAACGTAGCAAAAAGGCGGTCTCACCCTTTGAAAAGGCACTGCTTGAAGAGCACCACGTCGTTCCTGCACACGTCGCCTGCGTGGACATTCGACAATGGAGCATATACACCAAGGGGAAACGAGTGTTTTAGAAGAAAGGCACAAGCCGAGAGAGCACCACGTCGTTCCTGCACGCGTCGCCAGCGTGGCCATTCGACAGAGGGGCATAAAAACAAAATACACACAGGGGAAATGAGTGTCTCAAGAAAAATGGCTCAAACCAGAAGTGAACCTGGTTCGCCATGAACCAGAAGTGCGGTGTATGGCACACAAGATGCGATCTATGAGCCACTTCAGATGTCAAGGCGCCTCAAAGCTATTTCGAGTGCTGTACTAGAGTAAATGAAGAGATGCTAGTACGATCTGCATGAATGCGGATGGGAGGGAAGGCATGAAAGGAAGGGGTGGGCGACAGGGCGAGGGTGCGAGAGGGCGAAGCGGCGGGGGGGCGAGAGGGCGAGGGGATTAGAAGTGGTACGTACCTTTGCAGTGGATGGAGAAAGATTCGGGCGGGTACTTGCGCATGGCTGACGCGACATCGTTGATCCTGGCGAGGAGAGACAGAAACGGCGAGGCGAGACAGAAATGGACACAGCTGGCTTTTCCAGTCGCAGTGTAAGCATTCACTGCTTCATCATACAGCAAGCATTGTCGTAGTGACGTGGGGATACATTAGAATATTTTCGTTCGAATCTTGAAAGCAAGAACATCGATATATCTTCACACTGAATATGGCTCTTCGCCAGAGTGTTTGGTTCGGGGAAACGGGGGAGGACGGAAAGAGGGGAGGGGGAAGTGGAAAGGCGGAGGTAGAATCAGCATATAACGCGAAAATTCTCACTCGAGGTGCTCCTGAATGCGGCTGACGAGGACGGGCTTGGCGCCGCTCACTCGCAGGCGGTGGAAGCGCAGGTATGCCTGGCACTGCCCAACGGTCATCTCGCTCCACTCGCCCGCTGCCATACCAACGAGCACATGCCAGGATTGCACGTTACGACTGTTTACACGAGATTTGCCCTGACGTGCATGCTATTGCGAGACGTAACAACACTTGAAAAGTACAACATTTGTGGATTTGACCAGTGACGGTTTGAACACTATATTGCAGCTTGAACAGATCGGATCTTAACAGCAATTCACGGAGTGTACCTTCTATCGAGGATACTTTTTAGTTGTCTCAAAAGTCACCTAAATGCGGTGTTATGAAATGTACCTTGGATCAAGGACAGCGCCCTCGCGTAAACGTCGGACGTGGAGCATCCCGCGTGAACCGTTCTGTTTCTCAGAGCGCGCACGCTCGCGGCTTCCGACGCGTTGCTTCTCGAGCTCGCTCCACTCCCCGTTTCGGTAGCCTTGACAATGGGAGTCGCCTTGTCGTGGACGGTTTCACCTTTGTGGCCGACGAGCGAATTAGTCGCGCAATTAGGCGCGTCAACCGTCATATTGTTTTTCCACCAGATGTACTGCCGTATAATTTAGCGGGCACTGCCTGTCAAGTACTTGCAACAAGAACTGAGTACTATTGATGAAACCTTGTAACTAGTACGAGTGACCAGTGATATCTAGCTCCAAGTATGAGCCATGTCGGCTTCTCTGAAAGAAAGTGCTGAAGGTAACAAAGCGGCAACATACATCGCGGAGCTGTTCTACTTGTCTCTCCGCTTTCTGGTGCTGCTGCGGCTTACCTGTTACGAGTAATTGGGGTGGGGGTTGTGTTTTGGCGGGAAAGGTTGCAGATCTGAAGAAATCGAGCTGACGCAACATCGTGACGCTTGATTTAATGCGCAATGCCTGACAAGTGCAACGACGAATCACGCACATTGGATGCATTTGCTGTACAGTTGTTCCGTTTTCCCTCGCCTTTTCGAACCCGAAGCGTTCGCGCTTGTCAGAGACACCACCTGGCTTGGTTGGCAGGCTGGGGGGAAATGGCTTGGAATGTGTGAGGCTGGAGAGAACCAACTGCCTAGATTTCGCGTCACGCCTTTCCATCCCATCCGCACCGTCAATCTGCTCCTCTAGCGTCAGCACTGACAACAGACACAAAACAGACACACACAACGCTGGGTGGTTTCAAAAAGGTTTTCGAGCATGGTGCGCATCTGGATGGGGATGGGGTCATGGAAAGGTCTCTGGTCCAGGGAATACTTGTAAAACATAGTAGCTGTGACTACTGGAGGGCTGGAAACTTGGCTGGAAAGTCTTAGCAGGGCTGCTGGAATTGACTGGATGAGGTAAAACTTCACTATGTTCAAGATTAACAAGCCCACTAAAGCACAACTCTAGGCATCACAAACAAGACAGATTGAAAGCTCAAACTAGGCTGATAGACAATGTAACTTCCCTGGTAACTTGGGCACAATCTAGATTGGATGGACCTTGAGTGACTTTGAGTGCCACATGAGGTGCATGAATAAGAAAACTCTGGATATTTCTGTTATAGCTGATTCTGATGTGTAGAAACCTGTAGAAACTGCCAACACTTCGGTTTGAAGGCAGCTTTGAACTATATCGAGTCTTCGGCTGAAATCTGATTGGTGGTGGAACTTTCGAAGTACTTCCCGAAGCTCTGATTCATCGCCGACATTCCCCCTTGCTGCTGCTTGTGTGCAAAGGGCTGGGGCGGCAGAAACTCGATTCTCCAACACTCCCCCTCGCACCAGACCCGAAGCACACATACACCCATGCTGATGCTCCTTTCACATCTCCTTAGCATACACTTCATGCTGCTGCCCACGTCTCTTCCCCTCACACTCCTCATTCTCCTCAAACTGCTCCACTGCTTCATGAAGTGTCATGAGGCCTGCTCTTGCCTTGCACATGTTGAATGCATCATGTGGAAGAACCTTGGTCATGAAATCTGCTGCTTGATCGAATGAACGGCAAAAGTTGACGGCGATAACTCCCTTCTCTAGTTGCTCACGAATGAAGTGGTACTGCACCTCGATGTGTTTTGTACGCCCATGATGAACCGGATAATTGGAAAGAGCTACGGCTGAAGTGTTGTCCACGTAGAGCGGAGTTGGTTGAGTTTGCGGCTGCCTCAATTCCTCCAAGAGTCCACGTAACCAGATTGCCTCCCTTGCTCCTTCGGTCATTGCCATGTACTCAGCTTCGGTTGTTGAAAGTGCCACACAACTTTGCTTGCGCGATTGCCAAGAAACAGCGGCACCACACATGAGGAAGATGTAGCCGCCGGTAGACTTGCGTGTGCTCAATTCTCCCGCCCAATCTGCATCGGTAAAGCCTT